TACTGCTTTTCGGCCCTACACCTAGCCAATGTGGGACTATTTGTCCGTGACACGCTCAAGAAGAAGCTCTCTCTCTCTCTCTCTCTCTCTCTCTCTCTATCTCTCTCTTTTTCTTCCCTCCCCCCTGGTATCTTTCTCATATTTGTATTAACTTCTTTGTGCTTTCAATCTTCTTACTGTCATTATCTTCGCTCAGTTGGCATTCTAGTACGATTTACGATGTTCTCGAGAATCAAACAGTCACGATTAGCTTTGATGGGTGCAATCAATACTCTTTTCCTCCTTGCTTCCTTTCTCTATGAATCAATAGATCTTAGCCGGCGACATTGTGTTCAGATTCTGCATTTGATTCTTTCCTTTTGGTACAGGCGGGACGGTACATCTCGACGGATTTGAACGTGTTTATTTTTTTTACTTTCAGCTGTTTTTAGTTCTGAAGTGGAGTTTCTTCGGCCAGGAAGGATTGCAAAGGTGAATAGATGGGGTTTTTTGGAGCCATATTTGGTAACTTCGGGTTCTTGTTTGGATTCGCTGGTGGACTTGTCATCGGGTATTTCTTCTTCATCATCGGGCAGCCGAGTGACGTTAAGGTAACCCCGTCTTTTTTATTTCTTACCTAGCTTCGTGATATGTTGCAGTTTTAATTTGACGATTGATATCAAATGAGGGTTACGTATTGGTTTGATGATTTTTTATATTTTGTTTAGCTCTTCATATAAATCAATGAAAAATACAATATTGAGGTCGGGGGTCTGAATCCCCTACGAAAGGGTGTCTTAAGGAGGTGGTACTTGAATTGTTAGGCACTTTAGGGGTGGCTGGAGGCTTGTATAATAGCCTCTGACTATCCGTTTATATATATATATATATATATATAATATCTTAAATTTTGAATCTTTGCTTACTATTTTATAATTGGATGGAAATCAAGATGAGAATATTATGCTTTTGTAGAATTTTATTTTGGGAAACTCAATTATTACACATTCAATGACAATACAACAATAGGTTACAGAGAAATTTACATACATTGCACATAATTTTTATGTATTTACATATCTCAAACCTAAACTTTCATATTTACATAGATAGTACTTTGTTGCTTCATTCTTTTTGCTATGTGATTATAGGACATTCATTATTGAACATTGAAGAGCTTTATAAGTGATACGTCACCAACAAATTTTCATCAGCCAGCACGAATTTCGGTGTAATTTTTAAAACAAGAAACATTCAAACTTTGATTAAGAGCCATCCAGAGTTCTGATTTCAGCAAACGTATAGTCAAACTGATCAGCTTGATGAGACGGACCTAATGATATAAAAGTCAGTCCAATCCGAGTTAAATCAAACCCAGATCAAATCATTAAACCACCATTGGAAGATTTTTGGAGGCAATTGAAAGGTCAAACAGATGTCGAATCTAGCGAGTTCACAGTCGAATCGATCATCTCGATAAGACGAATCCAATGAGCCCAAGATTGCTCAATTGCGACATCGTTAAGACACTCAAATGTCCATCAAATGTCATCCGATCAAGAAAATCTCTTCGGACCGTCCGATCAAAATAGTTCATATTCCTGTATTAATTGCACTCAAAACACTATAAATAGAGCCTCACCCTTCACATGAGAGGAAGAGGCTTAAGAGAAAACTTGAGGCTTTGAGAAGGAGCTCAAGTCCAAGATTATCCACGCCATCGTAGATCGCCGTCGACCACCACTGACCGTCGACAACCGCCGCTGACCTCCCT